TGAGACTGGTGGCACCGGAGACGCTGCATCAAGACATCCTGCATCACTATCACTCCACTCTGGAAGGTGGACACCAGGGGATCGGGCGTACATACCAGCGGATCCGCGATCACTTTCACTGGAGAGGTCTCTTGAGAAGTGTGCAGAAGTACGTCGGCGAATGTGTCGACTGCGAGACCGGCAAAGGACGACCCACGATCAGGGGCGAGTCGCCGGGAAACATTCAGGCGACATACCCATTCCAGATCATAGCGATGGATCACATACCTTCGCTACCCAAGTCGTACAAGGGTAATACGGAACTGTTGATCTGGGGCGATTTGTTCACGGGATACGTGATCGCGAAGGCCAGTTCCTCCCGAACGGCGCAGACGATCGCCGAATCTTACGAAGAGTGTGTGTTCCGGTGATTTGGTGCTAGCGAGGTGATCAGGCACGATCGATAGCCGGGATTTATGGATGACTTCTTCCGCGCCATTAACAAGATCCTGGGTATGCGCCAGCGAGCGACGATGGCATATCGACCTCAGTCTAACGGTACTGCAGAGCGAATGGTACAGACGGCGACGAGGGCCCTGAAGATGTTCGTGGAGGATCTGGATCAGAGGGATTGGGATGAGTACGCAGAGCGATTGACCTTCGCGATCAACACGGCTCAGGATCGGGTCCGTGGGGACTCCCCATTTTATCTGGTGCATGGATGGGATCCTCGATCGACGCTCGAGGCAACGATACCTTTGGGTAGTACCCGGACTCGGGATCGGGATCCTCGACGGTGGCGATATCGGATCCAGAAGCACTACGATCAGGCACGAAGTCAGGTGAATGCTCGACTACGCGAGGCGATCGCGGATCGGGCCGATCGACACAATGAAGAAGTTCGACCGCACTCGATCGAAGCTGGATCTCAGGTGTGGCTGTACCTGGATCGAGTGAAAGAGGGGTATGCCCGGAAGTTGGCCCACCTGTGGCACGGCCCGTTCCGTGTTGCGGAGAAGATGAACGAGTACACGATGAATCTTCAGATCGCTGGTACGGACTATCACCTATTCCCGATCGTGCATATTTCGAAGCTGAAGTTGGTCAGGGACTTCCCCGATCGACCGCAGATCGCACTCACGGTGGACGAAGCAGATCGACTCGATTTCGACGAAGTCTTACTTCCGGAGGACAGCTGGGCCCCAGATCGAGACTCGAACGAGTGCGAAGTGGAGAAGATCACGGATACGAGAACAGGTCGCAGGACCCGGTATGGCCGGACGTATCGAGAGTTCCTGGTACGCTGGAAGGGTTACGACGAGCCTGACTGGGTCGACGAAGCTGATCTCAACTGCGGAGCGTTATTGTACGAGTTCCTTCGAGATCGCGTGTACCGGAACCGATTCAGCGCGATGCACTCTCACGAGGAGGAGTGAGATCGGGCCACCAGGGTGAGCGGGTCACCTTGGTGAGCGAGAGGGATGACGGATCGACGGGGAGGCCGTTGATCGGAGGAAGGGGTTGTATATGAACGAATGAGTGTATGTGAGTGCAGATCGGACGGTTATGGAGCGAGTGCAGGAAGGCATGAGGACAGATCTTGGCCGATCGAATTAACAACGAATGAATTGACGGGGAACAGTGGAAGATCAAGGAAGAATGTGGGTTATTACGATGGAATGGATCAATCTGAGTACTTCGCGCTACGCGTATGGAAGATCGGCCTCCGCGTCACTCCTATTCTTGGGGTGTGATGGTTGACTGGCTCGCTATTCGCG